AATAGAACTACAGTCTGAGCTCTGTCAAATCATTGCTTAGTAATGTTGACTTCATCGTAAGAAGAATATATCTTCGGCAAGGTTAACTGATAAACAAATCGACAAAACGTAAGAGTAATAGCAACACTTAGACCCGCGCTCTGTACGGTTTACTAGAGTAGACATGTTTTTGTCTGGCGTTCGCCCCTTATTCCGACGATGGCATTGTCAGCACCGACGCCCCAATGACCCTGCGTATGGATAGCTATGATTTTGAGGGCTTGCAGCTGCCTATGCATAGAGCCATTCGTTTAGCCTTGAGTAACTCCCATCAGATTGTCTTTCGACTCAATTTCAAATCGGCGAAACTAAAAATATAGTCCCTTACAATGCTTGGATCATTTTAACGTGTAGACGTCTCGATTTATAATGTCTATATGACGATCACGCCAATGATGTCTGCGCACTTTAGGCCGCTAGACGAATGTTGTTACGGCACTAACATTCAGCTAGAGACCCTAATGCTACATATGGTCTAAGTTGACCCAGAGGATTTTTCGTCGCATCTATAGCTAAGTATGCTAATAAAATGTAATAAGAATTTAAATATATTGTTTGCGATGGATGTGCCGAGCGTCGAAGGAACTTCCACTTCGCACAGAAACTTTTACGTTTTTTCTGTATCCTATGGGTACTGTCGATAGGTATTTTAATCAGGTAACTGGCTCCCAACACGAAACGAACCCAGGTGCGAATTCGAGTAAATTCGTCGACCACTAAATTATCGCTCAGGACCCAGAGCGTAGACTTCGGTAGCCCGTAACTCATAGGTCGTTGTATAATTACGCTGTAAAATATAGTTATCCAGATACAGGTTTTTATGTCGGTGTAAAACTCCGATAGCCGATAAGCAGCTGTACGCTATAACAATCGGTTATACTGTATTTTTGTGCTGCCTAACAGGTGCTCGGCAAAACATTCTGGATCAAAGAAATCTGTCGCTGGCCATATCTCATTTATGCTAGCAGCGGTATGTCCTGTCCAGCTTCTATCATATCGCGAGGCTTAAGGTCACTGCACTGGAAACTGTTTAACCTGCAAATCGGCATCTGTCATCAGTTCACCTAAGAATATAGTCAAGTAGTCATAATGCTGGTTTTTGACGGGAAGTCCCTTGAGTGTAGAGCGCTCATAACAGCCACAGGATTCAACGTTTACCTGTACGCCATAGAAGCTGACAACTGTGCTAACAATATAACTAAAACTAGGTGTGATCAGGCTGGCCCACTGTAAATGCTATGCTGATGATTTGTACATGTTTGTTTGATTTCAGTTGACTAGTTCGTGTGGTTGTCTGGGATGTGACCGTTGGGCAGTCGCAGTCGCCCTGGGCTCGTCTACGTTGACCATTAAATCGTCTTTCTCAGTTGCCAATTAGGGTCAAGAAGATAATTTGGCACCTGTAAATTTAGCGTATATCTGGCTACATGGCCTCATCGTTATTAATAGTTTATAGAAAACTCATTCATCATTATTGGTTATCTTTTTTACAATAATCGAGCAGACATATTACTATCGATCAGACAATACGGCTGGCTTTCGGCACGGAACAACGTATGTTGGAGCTTAGTTTCGAGTCTAAACTGTCACGGGTACCTAAGTTTAACAGCGAACGCGTCGTCACCGCGTAATTCATGGACGTGCAACTAAAAAAAATCCACCAAAACTACAGCTTAGCTAGGTCTATAACATCTTCTATAACATCTTTACAAATACGCCAGCAGATTCACGCGGGAAGTCTCTCCTTTATTCTAAGAGGCAGACAACCGTGATAACCCAATAAACTGCAAATCCATAATTATAACCCATTTCAGTGCAACTCTCTAAAAGCCGTGTCAAATACCAGTTGAAAGCTCACTTTTTCGAAATGTTTTTTTTTTTTGTTGAATTTGCTTCATAATTTTCTTTGCTTCCAGTCCTCGAACCTGGCCCTTTGTGGTATCAATCACTGGACCATTTGCTGTTGCGATAGGGGAAACTCCCTTGTTAGCTCTATAGCCCTCGTTTTTTTAGCTCTATAGTCTTTTACTATGATGTTTTCCTTATCGTTCACAATTCGTTCGAATTCTATTTGAGTAATCACTCCTTAATTGCCAATGCCAATCTTAAATGACCATTTTCCAAAGCGTGGAATCATGCAGGGTTAGATCCTTGGCCCACTCATATTTATTTTTTGTATAAATGCCCTGTTCCCGCACATCGAATTCTGTGAGGACATAGTTGCATAGAAAAGCGCACACTCATCCATGTTTTATTTATGAAGATTTATTTGGCATTGCTTGCGCTAGCGAAACGGGTCCTGTTATTACGGCTTGCTAGGTATATGAGAGTGTCATGAGATTCCCGGTTGATGGTGGTCTATTGGAAATGATACAGCCTTCGGGCTATTGATAACATTTATTTGTCATAATCTGAAAGGCCTTAACCCCAAAGTCAGGCACAAACACCACCAATCATGACAAATAATATGTAAGAATTTAAACAGAAAAGTATAGAATGTCCAATCCAAAACGTTAATGAGTGCTTACATATACGCAATAAAATCATAGACACGTTTGTCCTTTCGCGGAGATTGTTACGTAGACAGCAAAGACACTTCGCCGGATAGAAGAACACAGATGAACTGTCTTTTTTTTTTTTTACAAAAAAAAGGTTCGTCGGGTTAATTAGGCAATCGGTTGGGTCAACTAATCGATCACGTCAGACAAAGTACTCAATGCCATTAATTATTAGAACAGTACAGCTTAAGTAAGCGAGTGCTATGAAATAAGCCAGTGTTTGACGTACAACCTAACGTGGACCTTTGGCATAATACAAACCTGTTGTCGCGTGAATTGATCTGTACCGGAGACATTCTACGTGTCCAAATGGCGGATTATCGTCGTTGTTAGTAAGCACATACGTGCAGTTCACAACACGAAGAATAAGTGATGCAGTAGAGAAAATATAAAGGGTACTCACATACATATACACAAAAATACACTGACCAACTGATCTCAAACAGGTCACAAACAGTCCTTTTAGGGTGCTTTGTTGATTTCTCGTATGGGCGGAATATCGGCTGCCATGCTAGGACGATAAAAATGAGGCACCGACCGTCTTGCAGCTTCCATTGAGCGAGGCAGCTTTCTATTACGAAGGATCTTATGACGATGAATTGTAAACGTAAGCCTGCTATTCCCCAGCACAGGTTGTCCTGCGAATCGCCAGGCTTGCTAGGACCTCTTGACTGGTCCAGAACTACCTGCCGCAGCAAGGTTCATCCTTTACGCGTGCTGGTACGAGCTTATCGGCAGGTTGCTTGTTGTCTGGTAGAGGCCAGCTCCCCGAGCTGATGCGTGTCGAGGGGCGACCAAGTCTGCGTCACTCTGTTGCCAGCTAGAAGCTACATGCTGTACGAAACTACGCTAATGGCTTACGCTCACTGCTGGAGGGAGGCAGAGGCGGTAACAGAAGTCAGCCGCTGTATTGTCGTTAATAACGGCTCCCACAGCGCCGGCGGCACAGTCCGATCAGCTGGCGGCGGGTGATGTCTGCGCCTTCTGGGATTCTTTCGCCTCTCCATCGTTATTGACCCTTTCCCGGCTCTCGTAGACTGAGCAGTAGCTTTCTTTTACCGCGCGGCGACTACGGAGCCTGAGAAGCCCGCTCCGCTATAGACGGTCACTCAACGGTCGACGGCAGTAGAAGCAAAGCGCAGCGACAGACGAACAGGCAGCGGCGGCTGATCATCTGAGAGGGAAAGTAAGCGAATTTTTTAATCGAAATAAACTGATTTAAAGGTTCGCAACGGATGAATGGATGGTAAGGTAAAAGCATGTAATCGAAATCTCGATTGTCTGTTCGCCTACGTTTGACGAACGATGCATGAAAACGTTCTTAACTATTAGCTAGTTACGGTAAAGCCGGTACGGCTTCTCTCGACGAGCTATTTCTAATGGTGGATGTGGGCAAACGATTGTGCATAGAAGACAGAACGCGTGCTGACGTGCATGTAGCCGAAAAGCACATTGAAAAATACAGTTGCTGGAGAGATTAAATCGTCGCATTGATCGCCACGTTGAGGCTAGACGTATCGCGAAGAGTACGCTTGTTGTTAATAGGAAAAATGGACTAGCAGATCGTAATGTTGATGATCTAGCGCCTATCCTGATTGTAGGTTTGCTTAAGAATTACGCTACGGTACGACCTACTGTAATTGAGCTTTGCCGGTGCGTTGAACTAACTAAATAGTAGACTTAGCAGCCAAAATGCGAACATTAGAAGCCTTTATGTTGGAGCTATTATTGGTCGACCTGCCAAACCGTTTTTATTTATCGAAATGATCATTGTCGAACAGGGCTCAGGTTTGCCTTAGACGATGAACTAAACATATCTTTGGTAGCTATTTTCAAAGCAATTGGGTTTCTAATATGCACTTCCAAGGGCAGTAGTGCCGAGTATAACGACGTCTGGGGTTGCCGAGCTTTGCGTTTTGCATAGTACTATACAAAATTTTCGTGAAACTACTGCCTTTGTATTTCGTCGCGCGGGGTCGATTGCACGTAGTAGACCTAGTTGATGTGTCCGCGTGATAGCTTAGTGGGTAACGTATCTTCTTGCTAACCTCAGGGGCGCACCGTTGTCCAGGCCCAAGACGGGCGTAGACACACTGGGTTTCGCGCTGAGACCCAGCCACCTGATGGAGCGCCTAACAGCGATGCCGAACGTAGAACTCGAAACATAGAGGCGTAGCCGATGTAACCTACTATTCAAGCTAGTCATTGCGGAAGGTGCCATTGGCACTATTGCTTCGGAACGGTTTTCGTCCAGGGTACATTTACATATGTATATATAGTGCTATACGCTTTTCATGGAACATCTATGCATGATCAACAATAAAAACTTACCCCGCATAAGACAAACTTCAGTCCGCTGAAAAACGTGCAAAAACATAGAAGACATGGTCTTTATTCCTTCATTCCTTTATCCTTCATTACTTTTCCCTTATAATTTATTTGCAGTCGTGTAACATTTGTCTTGATTAACATTTGATTAGCGATCGCAACGTACTGCCGCAGTGCAATACTCCATGCTATTATCTAAGCCGCATTTGTTCCATAAATGGTTTTCCCTTATAGCTTTGCGTCGTGTCTTTGGACGGCCGTGGCATTTCTACTCTGTTTTTGGCCACAGGCCCACATAAACCTCGCTTTACACTATATCCGCATCCAAATTTATATTTTCATTATAATCACTATTATTCCATCTCACTCCTCGTTTGAATGTGATCTTCGTCCGTGCTTCTTTGTCCAGCATGCACTATATACTGTTACTGACGATGATCGATACATATATTAACTCTTCACTTCAGTTTGGTTGTCTTCTTTGCCTCAGTTGAATGCAATTATATACCGTAGCACACACACATACATCTCAAACTACATACAATTTATTCCTTATATCTATCATTGCAGCTCATAGCATAGCTTCGTTACGGTTTCCGGCTTAGCTACATCCGCTGGTGACTTTCTATGTCTTCTGCTACATATAGCCCGTATATATCACGTCCGTTTCCAACACTCCCTCACAAGCATAGCCCACACAATTTTGCTGCGATTTTGCCATTAAAACAGAGAATTTTCCGCTTGAGTCAATTGTTAGCAGATCGTATCGATGTCACTAAATAAAAAGATAAGGCCAACATTAATGACCTCACCTTTTTATTTAATAATAAAGTCATGGTAATAGTTGCGCGAAATAAAGCTACGGTAGCAGCTTGCGGCTAATTCTACGCAGGGTATAGTTTGAGGTATTGTAAAAGTCACGCATCGTAGAGATGACCAAGGTGAAATCTGGTGAAGCTTTACACATTGCAATATTATAAGAATTCCCGTTGGAATAAGTAAAAATTTAGAGGTTCTCCCTGTTGTCGTGTATTTAGCACACTTGCTTATTTCAAACAGCCCTTGCTTTGGTCTGAGAGACCATCAGTGCGTTCGTATGGATCGAGATACTAATCCATTGTACGGATTTTTTCAAAGTTCTTGTCCACTAGGACAACCAGCTTCGGATTTGGATTTCGTGCAGGCAGATTCCACATTTAGCATAGGATGAGCCAGATGATGGTACAGGACGCAACATACAGTCAGCCTGTTTATTAGTTTTATCGATTAGATCACTCTTGTCTCCTGGGTTTGATAGAATCGAATTAGTCGTAGGTCGCTGTATTGACGTTCTACATGAGCCTTACCTAGGTTAAATCGGTTGGACCGTCCTATCCTAACACCTATTTGGAAACAGGGTCGACACGTCGGCGAAGCTGTTCGGCATGAAGCCGATGCGGACGAAAGTCGGTTATCGATTAGCTTATACTGGTGCCAATTCTAGCACGAATTCCCCCTCGAACAAACGGACATACACAATTAAGAAACCTAATAACAAAACACGCTTACAAACACACGACCTCGACCCGAATTGGCTAAAGCTTCAATCTAGATTTGGATTAATTAAGCCCACTACATATAAAAATGATACCAAAATAGATCGATTATATAGTGTTGCGTTTGGAAAACGCTGCAACTGGCATTACGCCGTGAACAAAAAGGACTAAAGTAATAAAATTCCCTGTTAAAAAACTGTATAGATCTACCATTGGCGTATGAGCAATCGTCAGCGCCATCAAGAAACCAGATAATTCTTCTTGACGCTAACGCGGATTGACGAACCGACAAGCACCGCCAAGTGCATAATCTGCTTTTGTTTCGTAATTTTCTCTTTCGTTTTTTATCAATGCACGTCTACACGCCATTATCATACATCTCAGCTTCTATACGTTCAGGTTGTCTTTCGGCTGCGTCGTATTTTCTAGTCGATCCGCCGCTTACGCCAGACAACGACCAAGAGGTAAACATGGTAATCTGTGTCAAAGAGCTTCAGAGCTTCATGCGCAACCACAGACGCGATCACGATGCACGAACCGTGTGTCACGTACCGCTCTCATCGAGGGATTCGACGAAATCCAGACCGGGTTCATCATTCTACTTTCACTGCTATCTTTCATATTATTACATGCCCATCTACGATCCCATGATTCGTTCAGTTTCATTGTTGTTATTATTATTACTTGTCGTCGATAAACAATTTTACACTCGCGGAAAGATTAGCGCTAACCCCTCTGTTTACACGTTCGCTGAATCTCTCACGCATGCTTACGTGCTCCCCGTATTCATTTGCACGTTTTTCTGTCCCCCATACTAATAATTATGATGAGGATATTTTGTCAGCATCGACTCATTTTGAAATCCCTTATAGGTCTGTTCTGTGGGGCATTTTTTCTATTCGCATCACTTTTGTATGTGTTTGGGCTATTAACACGGTAGTTGGTATCGAACTGGGTCCAATACATAATGAGTTTACGATGTTAATCAAGCATTTTTTTAGCCCCTATAATATACTGAATAACTCATAAATCTTATAGGTAAGACTTGTTAATATTAATCTGAACTACTCGGTGCGCGTTCTCTATTGGTGGGTTCTAGCATCCGTATGTATGGATATCTCTGCGCTAATCAATAGGCTTTTTGTTTAGGCGTTTGTGTGTGACCCAAGCTCCGCGACTTCGTCAGGCCGGATATTAGCGTAGCACTAGTTCGTTTAGTCGTCTGTATCCCTTTTCTATTTTCGTCAATGACAGTTGTTCCTGTATGTATTATAGCGTTGCACATGACGTTTCTTTTTGTAAAATGTTTCCCAACAACCCGCTTTTCTGGGTTTTTACTAACTGTATTTTTTTTTCCGCTTAGATTCGTTACCGTTGTGTCGCAGTGGTAGACCGTTGTATTGCGACAGAGGCTTGTCTGGACCCTATTATTATTATGTTCATCCTGTTCCCACCACCTCGTCACTCTGCTATGAGTTCATCTGGTAACGGTACTGTCTATTCGATAACAATTGCCCAATTTTTAATATTTGTGTTACCATTAGCCGTCCTGTAAGGATTTGAACCTGTGATTGAATCTTGTGTTGCATACATACTCAGTACAATCAGTAGGGCGCACATATCCCCTAAGCCTTTGTGTATGTATGTATCTAGAGATTTTGTAATATATACAAGTGAATAAGCGGTGCAGACAGGTGCGGCGACAACTATCAAGGTTCGTTTCCTCCACAGGCAAATATCAGACGTACATTATCAGTGGGTCCACTCTCGGCTTATCGATAATAGAGGTATTTGGTCTTCTATCCACATTGACAACTTCGCTAAAACAGGCGAAGTTGACAGCACTCAAAACGCACATCTCAGGCATCCTACATTTATTCGTATACGTGCGACATTACGGTCTACAAAACAATCAAGATAGACTTAAAGGTTGACCTTGAGTTCTTGCTCTGCTTTGTCTTCGCTTTGTATATCAGTTTTTAACTGTTTAACAGCATAGCCGGTAACCCTCTACCCGGGGGTTCCTTACTTTCAGTTGCGAAAGTGTTCTTTTAATCACCTCGTGATGAATCGTATTTCCTTATGTTGTCACTAACTATCCGTAACAGTTAAGACAAATTCGAGTTTCTAAAGTTTAATTTTGAATTCCGTGTGTCCCATAGACGAAAGATGGCCACCAGGATCATTTATAGTACATATTATGCCGTGTCTTTTGTATTTAGAGTGTCGTAGACACCGTGCCACAAGACTCTTCCGTTTTAATTTGTTGTAATTTGACAGTTTTATCAGCTATCGTGTTTTTTCCAGCTGCCTGTTGCTGTTGTTGCAACAACATCTGCTGCTTGGCCTGCTTCTCTCGAAGTATATCTTTGATGTCACGTATATCTTTGACTTCTTTTACGTTTGGCGTATGCTCCTTGATGGGGTCCTTTGTGGGCAGGCCCCCACTACCGTTGTTGTTGCCTCCACCTTGTAGTATCATCTGGGTGGGACTCGCATTTGTTGAAGATGAAATCATCAGGGCAGTTATAACAGAGCCCGGTGTTGGCAACGAATTCCCATTCCCTGAACTGACGGGACTACTCAACCCGGACCCGGGGCTAGGCAGAAGTGATGGGCTTACTAGACCTAAAAACACAGAGAGACCAATATCTCGTAGATTTAGTGAAACCAAGACTCGAATTGGCCAAATTTTTCCGCGTCGGATCATATTAGGGGACCATAAATGCTACACCGTTGAGGATTTTTACGTGTTAAATAATATTAAGAAAGAAAAACTGATTTGAGGCAGGAGTTCAGGCACTGTTCTTTTCGATAAGGGTGTTGCATATAGGAGATCGTCCATAAGGTGCAAATGATATATATGTCAAAATCAGTATCCGGCAGGATATGCATTACTATTTACTTGTTCATTTTCCTACCAAATCATAAATCTGCTATTTAATTATCTTCCTATCGATTGCGGTTGTCACGGTTATATGAGTCGACTCGGTGCTAACTATAGCTCCAAACATCAATGTATCGGTTCAAGTGTACGTACTAATTCTTATTATTCATTTGCTCTAAGATAAAGAGTATTGTGGTCCATCCATCTAATCAACAGTCAGCCATTATTATCAGTTATTAATGGTTAGTTATTAGGATAGCGATTGATTTCAGGGGATCCTCTCATCTATTGACTGATATACAGAGGAGGAGGAAGTTGTACGTACATATCTCGCTCGGGTATCAGTTTTTCTGTTCTCCTAAGGATAATAGTAAGCAAAGTTTTTATTTTCCAGCCAGCGAGCTAGAGATTCACTACGAATCCTTGTTCCCTCGTGGACAAGTTCCCGATAGTTAGTGGGCTTTTATGCTTGACTATCTTGTGAAGAAAATCAACGTAAATCTGGGTCCTTACCACTTTCATCGACCACGTTCTCCTCCGCCCCAGTCTTGTCTTCTTGTTTTTCATTGACCGGCGTAGCAGACCTGCTTCCCGTGTCTTCACTGATGGATGTTCCTCGTTCTTGTTTCGGTGTCGTAGCCGTCGCTTCTGCATCCGCTACCTCCTCACACGCCGGGGTCTCTGGGGACGTCGGCCGGTCATAGAAATCTTGGCGGGACTTTCGGCTGTGTCGTCCAGGCAGGAAGCCATATTCTGATTCTATAACAATATTATTGAACATGTGTACGTGGGCGAGAAAATCATAAAAATAAAAGCAATCTAGGTACATGGCCTGATGACATTTGAGGTTCAAGTCGACAAAAGACAAAGTTCTTTGCAATATATATATATATATATATATATATATATATATATATATATATATATATATATATATATTGCAAAAAGATACGATAGCTGAACTTTCATATTGATATAGGAAAACCAATGGATACATAGTATTCATAAAAACAAAAACTGGTTTTCACTCTACCCTACGTCATGGAAAAAATCTATATTTTTTTAAATTAATGTTTGTTTTTTTAATGCCGTACGGATTCTAAGGACTATACAGACGATACGTGTATTTGAGACGCAAGACTAAATCTTCAATACTTTGCCCTTTTTTTTCGTGCTGAGTTTTACGTACCATTGGTGCTCATTGTATCTGTTCTATTGACTAAATTCGAAGATTGTTGTTGTTGTTGCTGTTGTTGTTGTTGTTCGCGTCGCTTCTGTGCCCGTTCTCGTTTGCGTTTAATTTTCTCCTTGAGTTTATCACGGTCGCGAGCTAGCTCCGGATTTAGGTTTGGATTGATTGGCCACCTTGGGTCGTGCGGAAGTGTCTCCTGCATCTGCAGCCGCGACTGCAGACGCCGAGTTTCGTCCAGGTGAGCCAGCAGATGCATCATATCATGCATACTTTCGTTGGCCTCATCGACGGTCCGCTCCCGACTGTTTTTTTGGAAGAAAATAAAGACGTTTAGAATATAAAAAATAAGCAAGATAAGCTGGTGTAAATCAAATCGAGCCAGCCTGTTACGTGGGTGCAGATGCTTTGACAGGTCATAGGCATACAAGGTAAGGTAGAAGGAACCATGCGTGGTATTTTATGCGATATCTATCAGATACTAGTGATAAGAGAAAAGTCTGAATTGCTGAAGGAGTGTTAGCTTAGAGAAATGAGGAAATTCGTATTATTTAGTTGTAAATTTTGCCTCAAAACGGAAGGAATTGCTATGTGTAAAGATCTAGATGTTTAGCACTCTGATGGTAGTAGGCATAATGTTACCATTTACTAACAAAATCCAAGATACATTTGTAGAGTAGCGAAAAAAAAAAGTAGCTATGACGAATATACCAAGTTAAAACGCAACTACTGACTGCCGTAATACACAGTGCCTTCCGAACGTTCCGGAACGACTTGAGTTTTTCTATCTCGGACGGCAAACCTGTTTTGATCAGTTTTTAACCGATTCGTGTTATTCATGATAAACTTGTGTGACGAAAATCGTGGACGCCATACTAAACTAAGCTTTGTAATAAGCGACAAAAATATTCTATTTTTATTTTTTGTCTATTTCAAGGGTTTAAGACCAAATCTATTTTAGCAGTTGAAGCTAAGATAAATATAAGGAAAGACTGCAATCCATAGGTCTGAAACACCGAACCCAGAATTCAAATGCGTACATCTAGGAGGTGCTCGATTCGTAACCCAAGTAAAATCACCCTCGTATTTGGCTTTTCGGCTAATCTTGACTAATCGTCATTTGTTTAGCGTATGTTCAGAGCTCTGTGAACGAGAAATCGAACCGCTATAATGAACTTAGATGAGAGAACAGGACAGAACGGAAACGATAGAACAGACACAGACCTATAGCGTGGGCTATTGCAGTTAGACGAAGGTGAGTTATAGTGGGTACTCTGCTGCTCACGCTCGCGGTCCCATTTGGGTCGGTGCTCCCTTGTGTCTTGGTGATGAGGTGATGTGGGCTGAATCGCCCGCTGGTGGTGGATTTGCTGTTGGGGAATGCTACCTCCGCTGCTCGGTGGTCCGGGCGTGCCCATCGGCCTGCGGGCATGCGGGCCAGCGATGGGTTCCGACGCTGGACACGGCGATTGAGTACCAGGAGTTGACGGTAAAGAGTGACCCTCATAATCCGCTACCGGTGTTACACTGCGGCTGTCGTCACTGCTGCTAAAAGTATATCAAGTCAGAAAGGCATTGAGATCGATAACAGACGAACAGGAAGGGAAGGGGATAACTTGATCAGTAAATACAATAATATAAACGCCGTCAAATTTAAGATTTCGACGGTCGCGTAGGCTGAGAAAATAGAATAATAAATAAGAGAGTTGATCTTTGTATGATTGTCTAGGACGTTTTGAATAACCTTCGACTACCTAGTTTTTTTCAAATATGCATATTTATATTCTCGAAAGAAGCCCCCAGAAGAAATCGGTACTCACTCTCACTCTTAAAAAAAAAAATATATATATATATATATATATATGTAGAAAGTTATTTAGATAAGAAATAGCGTCAACCGATACGTATTCCTGTCGGCGGTCTTAGTTACGCACCAATTGTCAAGTTGTTCTCTGGAGCTGCCGCTCTGCTCTTGCACCGTGGGAATGCTTTGCTGGAAGTGATTCTGGTATTGTTGAAAGCCGCCGCCATGCGATCGACTTCGCGAGTGTTTATACGGATAGCTTGGAATAGCTGATGAACCGTGTGGACACGGATGTGCTGTATGCGACGCTACTGAGGCTAATGCCCCATGAACCGAGGGTGAACTAGAACCAAACACAGCCGACGAGGGAGGCTTATGGCTAATATGTTCTCTGGGCGGAAGCGGCGGTTGATCTTCGATTTTTTTGATCGCCGGATTTGAGCAGCTTCGATGAGGTCGGTAGAGGTAAGATTGTCCTGGCGATACCGTTTGTTGGCGGTGGTTGACCCCCACCGACACAGCCGATTGGACCCCCGCTGGGGCGGCGCCATGGTGGCTGTGCGAAGAAAGCCCGTTTTGGGCTGCAGAACGGTGATTCTGATGATGGTGCTGCTGCTGCAAATGATGACCATTAACATCTCCGTGTACCAGCGGCGAAGGCGAGGGCGATGTCCCTCGACGGGGCATATCCATCATTGAATGACTTTCCGAAACCCCTGTGTAATTAAGAAGCAAAAAATAGAAAAATAAATGTTTGCCTCATTTCTGCTATTATAGGATTGCTAACTATCGTAAGAGCATAATAGGCATGTATAGGTTTTCTCCGTTCTAGGAGGGGCGGGGTGTCACAATTAGGGTATTGGTGTCTACAGTTTGCTTTGTTTATTAGAATGTATAGAAATGTTTATTAGAAAAAAACAATTTTAACGGAATAAAAAAATCAACGAATTAATTTATTATGATAAACAAAAGACAATGTAGTATAAAATTGTGAACTATCGAAATTCAAAAATCAAAAAAGACAATCAAAAGATTGAAGTTCTACTTGTTATCTTTGAACCAGTACCCACAAAGCTCCCTGGCTCCTTTCTATTGATACGTGGTCAAACAACGGGTTTATGTCTCTTCTCGTAGAAATAGCTGTAGCTCTATAGTTGACCTGATATTCATCAGAATCACGCTCATCCTTTATTGCGCATGTATCCAACAGAACGCGGTTGTTTACCAATGGTAAACAATTGTTGCATTATTCCTCGTATACCTTAGAAAACCTTCGGTACCTTAAAAAATCTTCTTTTCGCGCTTGTTTAGTCGTTTAAGTGTCTATAGTAGTTCGTATGCTTCCCATAAAGCAGCCAAATATGATTTTTCTCCCGACTATTATTTATCATACTTACCTCGTGCAAATCGACTTGGACTAGCGGAGCTACTTCTTTGTCGAAGTCTCAGTACGTCAATAGGGGTAGCATTGAACCGTGTGGCGTGGCTTGGCAGACCATGACTCGTAGTTGGTTCGTGGTCAAGCGCTCCGAACGGTGTCACGTAAGGCACGTTGACGTAATTGTGCGAAAAAGCGGGCCTAGGCCCCCTTGAATAGGTATGCACATCGTCATAGATGTGAGCTTCACCATAAACGCTTCCACTGGAACCGCCCCCACTGCCATGTTGGTGATAGCAGCAACGACCTGTAGTAAACGAGGGCACAAAGCAAAAGGATACAATATGGGTCATCAATTCGACCTTCATCCCTTCGCTGGCTGGCCAGTTAAACTGTAACTTCCCTTTGGGTAACTTGAATTCCTGTTTACGATTCACTATACATATATTTCAGGCTGTTCAACGTAAGAGGAGGTGTACTGTCCGTGCTGGTTATGATAGGGAACCGCCGAACAAATGAGATAAATTCATACATAAACCATGTCGGATTTTCCCCGAACTACCGAAAATTAAATATGAAAATTTGAGTTCGACAGAGATTCTATCTAGGCTCTCTATAACTCGTGGTATCATTTTGGTTGGTTCGCGTATTTCTCGTTCCAGTCGATGCCTCTATTCTAGGTCCAGCAGTCACAAAGGCAGCAGTAGCTTATCCTGTCTTTCAACCGCAACTCCGTAGCGAGCAAACAGCTATCCTGCTAGCTATTCGACGAAGACCTCGAAGATGACGTCAGACTTGCTCGCTTTTTGGGAACGTGTTGTGTTACGCAACCATTGCACCATAAAAAATGCTATTTTAATATATCGAACCTAGAGAGAACAACATAGTTACTGGCTGAAATGGAGATCGGAACCCAACCTAAATCGACAGCGGATTCTTTGGCTGAGTCATTTGTCGATTGGCGACTATCGTCTATTGTACAATTTAAAATGTGGTTGTAGAGAAAGAAAAGTATTACTGTCAAAAATCCTACTCCCCGTTCTGACTGAGACTGACTGCATTGGGCCTTAGATCATGATTCTTTTTCTCCATCACTTGAAATAACCTTTTACGAGCATCTTAACGATAGTACGTTCAGCCTAAAACTAGGCCAAAAAAAAGGGATAAAATGGTAACTTTTTTATCAGCTAAAGACTCACCTGTGACTGGACTTGTGGCGGCACGTTTTCCTACCTGTCTTCTAACCACAAGCCAAAGTTCAGGGTATGCGAAAGTGCGCTTCGCATTCAACGCATTGAAGTAAGCGTACTTTGTTTGTAAGAAAACAGGAATAGCAAATGGGGTTCTGTATCGAAAACAAAACTGAGTGCGGATCGGCGGTGTCAATACCACAAAAAGCTTTTGGTGACTAAGCCGTGAGTCAGTAAGTAATACCAGTGTTTTGGTACAGTGGAGAGGGTCTTGAAAACAACGCCTTATACCAGGCTCCGAACGGCCTGTCACAACTTGAACGCGGAAAGTGCAGGACCTCTGAATCCCCTCAAGAATTTACGAGCAAGTACAGGCTCATCAATAACTGCTGTGTCGGAACACTTTCACACTTAAACAGGAGTTAGATTTGCTTCATCGTGTCGTTATAGGTGACAAGACCTGGGTAGACGCGTATGGCCAAAACAAAGGACAAAAGCATGGCTGTCAGAGTATCTTCTAGGAGGCTATTCTAGGCCAAGAACAGTTAAAAGATACAAGCCTCTTGCCACCGTTTTTTCAACTGTCGGCAAGTTCTACACTTGGCATTCATACTGAGTGGTTGTAGTTTTACCAAGGAGTATTGCCAAGGAGCTTTAAGAAAATTGCCTATGCCATACGTGAGGATAGGCTTGGATTTTGGAACAAGAAAAAGTTATGGCTTTTTTTTTGTTACCATGACAATGCAACGGCTCGCGTACCACTTCTGTGCTGCCTTAACTTCCACGTTTACCAGGGCTAACGCTTTGTATCTTTTTTCCATAAATAAAAAAATACATAAATGAAAAAACGTTAAGGTGATTAGGGAGCTTCAAGAAGAAGGAAGCAAGGCTTAAGTAAAGGCAAATGTGGAGACGATTTTTCACGCAGTCAGAGCAATAAGTAACTTATAGAAACTAGTTTTTCAATGGATAAGTGAGAAAACTGTTTCAGCGATTGACAAAAATTTATGCACACGCATGGTATCCGGCGACGACATTATCGGAAGACTGCGGCTTGTGGAGTTGGTAGAGAGCTAAGTTGTCGATACGTTCCTGTCTCAGAAGTTAACATGAAATAATAGTTCCACTAATTTCTAACACCAATAAAGATGGTTTCTTAATTAGGTCCCCGAATGTTGGAAATTACATTAGAATTTAGAGGTTACAATGGGAGGACAAGAACAAAAAAGGAACGTGTCCTTATATATGGCCTATCATACCATTACAGTGCTGTTTATTGAGATGTGAATAGGAGTTTGCTCGAGCCTGTTGTCGCATAATTGATTCGCACTCTAGTCGAACCATTTCTAGTTCCAGCTTAAGAAGAGCCATTTCACGGGCGAGTGTCGAATCTGCATTATTTTCGTCAGATCCCGTTTCCGATGATTCGTTTGACAGGTACGAACTTCTGAAACTGGTAAGCAATTAGTGGATATTGCAAATACAAAAAAAGTAATTTTGGCCATTTGTCTTATTGGCCTCTTATCTTTGTCCTTTATCAGGTTAGGCGGATCTTATAAAAGATCTTATAAAAAAAAAAGGGTTCGTTACATTATAATGGATCACGTCGAATGTGTATATATGTTCTTATTGTCAGGCTCTACATATATTTACGCACACGTTTAAGATATTTTAGATCGTACTGTCTGCTCGTTCACTATTCGAGCAGTACTTTCCACAAGTTACTCAGTGCCAACATATGTAGTCAATTTTTACCTCCTCGCGTGATCTCGGTGTATAGGCACGGGCGGCTGATGTTGGCCATTTTGATTGTTTATCATAAGCGAGGCTTTCGCGCCAGTCGGATCAAACCGTTGGCTCGTGGATCGCTGAGGGGTACCTGTGCCTCGTGGGGCTTGGGCAATCTGGTTAGACGAGGCCCGTCGAGGGACGCGACATCCACCCGGCGAAGACAATGCGCTTAACGACAGTTGTTCCTGTAACGCCGGATGAAGAATTGATGGATACAAAGGCTTTGACGATTTGTGAACGTTAGCATACGTTAGCTGGTGTCGCGAGAAACTTTCGTCACTTAGTTCGCGACCCGAGCTTCGTCCAATGCCCGAGTCATTTGTACCGGACGTTGTCTGAAATACAAATTACATAAAAGCACGTTAGCAAACCTCAAATCCTTCATCATTAGCCAAGTGACAGTTACTGATGATCCTGACTGGGTCAGATTTTGAGACAATAGATTTTCTGCGCCGAACGAGTAGACATCAACTCTGGCAGAACTGTTGCGCTACATTTAACTATGCCATGCTCTACCGCCTGAACAAGCAGTGAACTGTGCCTGATTATTGCGCTTTATCGGCGTGTAAAGTTGGCGCTCTCAGGAATAGTTTGGCCCGGCGTCCGTGGGAGGGCGCTTGCTTTCGCCCTTTCACATAACAAAGCTTAGAGGGAAGAAGGAGGGAAGGGGGCGGCTAAAATTGATTCGTATTTCTTGAATAGAGCACTCTCCAATGAAATTATATTAAATGCGTTTAGCCCTACGATGTTAGCCCTTTCCACAGCAATACATTTGGTAAATGTTGTAATTTAAACGATCGCAAAAACCGCGTAAATTTGACACTAGGAATTACGTCATAAGCATAAATACGAGCACATCGATCATGAACCTATTAGTCAACCGTATGCCACGTTCAACACTAATAAGTATATAAGGAAAGTATAATTTAAATAGTAAATAATGTAATGTTGTCTCTAAGTAATAGATTATGCAACTGTATTTATTCTAGACCACAATTTCTGTTTAAAGGATCTTCTTATACTGCTGGTTCTTTTCAATGGGCGCATAGGCCACTAAATTAGAAGGCCACCATAAAAAAGCATTAAGTTCGTAATTACTTTATTCGTATTTTATCTAAAATGATGGTTCAATGTTATCGAAAAGTAATTTCTTTTTTTATAGAGAAATACGTTATGTTTTCCGTATTCTTTTTTCTGTTCTTCCAATTAGATATTACAGTTTAGAGCAAATGCCATATTGTTGCGCTGTAAATCAACCTAGACGACCATAAGATAACCTCTAGAGATAAACAGACGCTTGCAAAACTTCCTCTGCCGCATAATAACCGTTAATATCGTTTCGGTATGAAATGATTGTTTAATAAGCTTCATCGTCGTTCTCACTTTTTTTTTTTGGACTCATTGGTCGGAAGGACTGTGAATCGTGTTGCAAAACAGTACAGCACATCGATGCGCTAGAATCGATCCTTTCGTATCTGAAATAGGCCGGCCACTTCGATTGAGCACTGCCCTCTGAACCGCAGAAACAAAATCATACGGCAGTAGCACCCCCACTCGACCCACTGGCCTAAGAGAACTAACAGTAGTATCACAGCCTGCTTTCCGAGATAGCAAATAATCGTTATGGTAATGCTACCCTCATGTATTTAGCTGTCCGATGAAGTAACACTGCTACGAAAACAAGTAGGTAGCGTTGCAAAAGGTCGTCGAAGAGATTTGTGTATTGACTCTATTAAGAAAATGACGCTCACATCCATTTAGTTACGGGCGCACATCGATTGATCGGTAGGGTAATACCGGTTAATGCAGCGCCTAGCGATATACTCAAAAACACATACGTTATCTAGCTATGTAAGCGAAACTGCGAGGGTGTTCCGGAAGATCTGATTGTTTTTTGTAGCAACAAAAAAGCATCTCGGCATCGTTGGCCTGCATCGTTGCCGTTTCGGATTAAACTAATGAAATAAAATGACCATAAAGGTACTAAACATAAGACGATATTCGAAAACATATTAAAGCATATATTCGTAACGGAAGCGGTACAGTTAGAAGAACTTGTCGAGCTTTATATATATATATGGTTGGGCTTTATATTCGCTACTGCCAATGAGTATTGTTTCAGCTCATTGTACTTATTTAGACCATACAATTTCGTAATGAGCCGTCCCAGACAACGTTGGATGCTTCTCAGCGTCGTAGGTATACCAGCTCTTGGTTTACACATATCTGGTTGCTTCTGTATAAATAGGACAGATTATATGATACGACTTTTACGATATAGTCAGCTATATAATAGCAGCTATGATCTCTTAAAGGTAAAACGCAAATAATGATTATGGTACAGGGTTACTGTAGGCATTGCGTCGGGGTACACCGATTTTTAGAGATTAAGTACATATCAATCATACATAGCGAAGTGAGTAATTCAGGCTTCGCTTTTCTGCAAGCGCGAAGACTCGTTATGTAAATCGCATGTTACTGGTGGGAAACAGAGCTCTATGGGCAGGGGCATAGAATGATTTGCGATTCTAATGACCCATGCTTGACCGTTTCTTTTTTGGTCAGACAAAATTTCACATTTTTAGCCACCGATCTAGAATTCAAATAGAGCGCGGCTCCGATCGTCATTGGTGACTATCGGCGTTGTGCTACTGCTGCTGTGGTCGAGGTGAGAGCGAACACCCTTGTTCCAATAGTGCGACGGGTCACGCCATCCCCGTTCACATCACACGCTGCCTCGTCGATCAAATGAGAGAGGCGGTATTGCTTTTACGTAGACCCAATGGCTAGACAGTTGGGATAAGAATAGGAACAGGGAGTTAAAAACCTGAGATTTCAACAGATTCTGACGAACGATTATCCGACAACGACCAGCCGATCATGACGAGGATATGAGTGGCCATAGATCTCGGTCTGAATGCGTAATTCCATGCATGTGTATGTAGTTGTTTATATATGTGCTCGTGCCTGTTCGTCGTATACTAATTACAGTGCATTATCTAAGTTAAATTTATCCTATTGCTGCTGCTGCTGCTAGCACCAGTTACATCGAGGAAGCATGGCGGCTTGCGCTCTGTTGGAAGTCCGACAAGAGCTCGGAAGGGGACCACGATGGATCAGAGAGAGCTGCCAGCATGACTGATTGGCCACGTAGTACTGGGAAGTAGTACGAACAGGAGAGGAACGACGTTACGGGGCGCGTACAATGGAATCGATTGTCAGAACCGCCATCATCCTTAGGAGTGACCAACACCGCTAAATTTGCGTGACCCGAAAGGCTGCTCTCTATGCTGCGTCCGCTGCTCTTTCCGCCGCTTTGGCGTCCATTAGAACTTTGTGGATCCGACCGATACAACGGACCGATCGGCGCCTTCCGCTGATAATGTTGCCGGAAGTAAGCAAGATTTCAGTAGGCGTTTTGCAGGCTTTCAGGCAACAATTAATGACCCATCAGCATGTAAAAATGCAGGTTCTGGATTTCCTTTTGACTTGCCATAGTTGTGCTACAAGAACTTTATACGTTGCTAGATCGAACCTGAGACTACCGTAGCGCTAACCGTGAAAACAAAGAGGATACCGAATCAGGCTGTATATGAACTTCACTGCTAAGTGAAGGCCGGTCTTAGCTACACGCTGTTTCAACCTTTGGCAAAACATCTGCCCAAAAAGTTACTCTTGCTACGGCTCTTGAGCTTAATTTTTTACGACGTGGTTTTTGGTGCGGCTGACGAAGTATTGCAAGCCCTAACTCCAACGTCGTAATAGATGACGTTCGGCTTGCACCTAGGAGTGGAATGTTAACTTGCAAGTCTCTATCAGCAGCAGCGACAGGCTATTATTTGTCGCCTACACGTCTTGAATGTACGTCAGGTATAAATCGATGCAGAGGAGTTATTCAAAAGGAAGCAATCCCGGGCTTCCCCCCAAATAGTGATTAACAAATTAGTCAATTATATGATACTAATTCAAAGGAAAAGGAATCACAGAGGCCTGAAAATATTTTCGCACCTGCCAGGCTGGGAACTCGCCGTCGGTCGCTGTCGAAATCATGGAATACTTCTCTAATCTATGACGGTCATAACTTAAAATGTCGTAAGAGATTGGTAATGTCAAATATATGCATAGCTCTGATTTCAATTATTTACGACGCGCGATTGGAAGTATTATTTGAAGGAGAATCTATATTTACTTTAAATAGCAGTGTTGTTGCCAAGGGATTGATCTGACAAGATGCGAGCCAGCTACGTGCTAATGTACGCTTTCCAATCTTTGCCGGATATTCCTAGGTGGTGGCATGAATCATCAGGTAGTTATATCTGGTAAACGTTGGATAGCTTCTTAGGCTGTAGCTTAATAATAGCGCATTACAGATCAGCAGCAAAAGCAATAATTCTCATCGTCTGGAGCAGCAAGATAGGACCTTAAATATCCGGCATACACAATTATAGTTATATGACCGTTCTGGGTGATCATTATAATGCGCGTCATTGCATTGTACTTGCAGTGAGGCGGCAACCTCGATTGCAAAGGCTCCGTCACGCTTACCCTTTGAACGTAGAGCATGGATCTCTTTTTATCGACAATAGCTCTCCGACTCATTTCCGACGCCTGGTCGATGCTTACATATTGTGGACTGCCGGCGCCAGTTTCGTTTAACGGAGGACCTCCCTTGAATTGTGTGGCGTTCAGCGTTGAGGGTCGCGGACCAACCGTCACAGCGCCGTTGACCCCATTCGTAGTAAGGTGACCTTGTCCATTTACTGGAAGGTACTTGAATCCGTTTGTACCATAATACCCCGATGAGATGTAAGATCTTGCGGTCCGCTGAAAAATAATAACACACTTCCACGTTAATGGGGCGTCGGAAGAATCCGCTGTACATACATTTGAGCAGTACCTAATTGTGAAACTTCAGATATTCTATTTTATATCATTTACCGGTTAAAGCCGGTTGAGATGTGCCTTAAGTTCAAACAAACGAAAAACGGTAAACTTCTGCAACGGATATTTATATGTCTTATGCAATTTTGCTATTTTATCTTTGAATTTTAAGGTAAAAGCGTTCTCCGCTGTCAATATTGCACTACTACGTCATTACTGGCGTCTGTCTGTCTGTCGGTTCGCTCTACAGTCCGATTTGATTTGATCTGTTTCTCTTCCTCTCCATGTCTTTAGGTTTTCCGATCTCACAGTTACTACCAGGGGCCTTCCAGACACAATTACAGCCAAGCTGAAGAATGCCCATACCGTGTTCTCGTTCTTGTCTCGCAAGCAATTACTTTCTAAGTATAGTCGAGGATCATCCTAGAATCTCTAGTTAGCTTTTTCCCTGGAGCTTCATCTTCTATCGGTCCAGTTGAGTGAGGTAGAGAAAACCGCCGCACTTGACTGGCGCTATGAACTCGGGAACCTTCGGGTAGAAGAGACATTTGTTGCTAGGAAGGAGATAGTTGGCCAAGCCGGCCAACTAAGCTTCGTCTTTCGAATGGAGTGCTCGACCACCGGATCGCCAGATCGCCGCGGCACGCTGGTCAAGTCGGCTGAGAAGAAGTGCCAGACAGGCGAGCTTAGGGTAAAAAGAAGACGCCATAGCAGCAGTGGCAGAAGCAAAGTCTTCGGCGCAGGGCTCAGCATTCATTCAAGCGTGGCTGATCGAACGTCAATCTCTTTTGGCTTCTTACTCTCCTCCCTCTCCATTCCCGTCCCCAAATCGTCAGGCAAGCAAAAGCCAACTCCGCTACAACGTTCCAACTATGGTTGCCAATAACAACAGTAAACTGCGTTTATTAAGATAGGCTATATGTGAGCAAGGCAAGCGATTCATCTTGGCACTCTCATAAACACGTCGTTACCTAATTTCTACGTCACGATAACTTTTCAGGGTAAAACTGGGCGAAGAACGGTCGGGCCAGGGGCAGTTAGGCCAGCTAGGGCACCTGGAGTTGAGCCTCGAAAACACAGCGTATGAATGCGCGAAATCCTGACACAGCAGCGCTTATATTTTCCTGAAATGACTTTTCTGTATCGTGAAGGAAAGAAGAAATACAGCGATCCTCTGTCTCGCGTCCGCCAGAAGTCCATTCTCTTATCATTGACCTAGAGGAGACAAAACGTTTAGGAGGATTTTCTGACCTAAACAGCCCTTGCTATTTGCGTGCGTGCGTGCGAGCGTAAACCAAAAGCGTAGATGTGTTCGTTCCAATGATCCACCCTGGTCGGAATTTACCGATAAGGCATACCTTCATTGGTATGAACAGATATATATTATTCAACAAATATTTCCCATTTAATTAAGCTTTTTGAATAAAGCAGTAATCTACCACTGTACCGAGAGATTCGATTATAAAAAGGGAGGATTCTAATGATATTACCATAGCGCAAAAACACGCCTTAGCCACGTCTGACATACGAAGTTTTTCAAGTGCAGCTGCAGAAGCACCTTCGTTGCGTGGGTAGTATTTGCATAAATAATGCTAAAAGTGCTCCCTTGAATTAAGTTTTTTTTTATGAACTAGCAGACTTTCTACATTGTTTCTATAGCTGAGAACTTAGCTTTCTATTAGCATATACGCAAACATGCCAGTCAACAGCATGTCGTCCTCTGTGCCTTACGGAAAGGCTATTCAGTAATTTTATGAATCCTGTACTTGAATAAAGGGTAGCTACACTTTTTAGGGATTAGCTAGCGTAAGGTAACGGTGTTGCGATGTTTAAAGAATCAACCCATAACCAGGAAAACACATCGAAAGGCCCAATAATTGCCGAGCAAGAAGAACGATCCCAAGGATCTACCAGATCAGCAGCTAGCCGTTCCACTCTTTCCCGCCAGCTTGTTGCGTTCTTTTTGACATCGCATAGGATACTCGTCGACGGCGACGATTGTTGGTTGCTTGATAGGGCCACGAATCGTCACCGTTAGATTGTATGGAAGTCTGTCGGGTCTTGGCTTGGTTGACTAAGCCGGATTGTCTGCGTGGGATGTTTATGCTAAAAACGCCAACTTCATAATCGGACTAGCAAAAGCGATCCTGGCCGCCCACGCAAGCCAACTTCATGGCCTTCCATTCTATCGTTAGCTCTACGACCCTTCACCACGACTGTCCACCAATTATGGGATCACGTCGTTGTAACTGTCACTCGGGATCGAAGCTCGATTATTTTGGGTAAGCAACGAAGGTCATAGATGCATACAGATATGCGCATACGCAAGAATATAAGGTCACTGACGAGAAATGCAAGCTCGGTACGATTTTGAGATTGTAGGCGAACGTCCTGTAACTAGCTTCAGAAGTGCTTGTGACAGAGGCTTCGTTTTAGGGTTAATTAACCTACTAACGTAATCGATACCGCAAAAATTAAGATGGGTCGCCATTAATTAGAGCAATAATTAGACACTGTTATCCATTCGAGTGTTCAATTTGAGAATGTAACGTTAAGTTTACAGCCGAAGCCAGGCGTATGTCTACAGATCCTTATTGTTGAAGTTGAATGGGAACATTTTGTTATTATTAGCACGAAATATTCGACGACGAGTTAACTACTAAGATCACAAGCGCTAATTTTATTACTAATACCGCAGAAATACTCAAGCAGTGTTTCAACTACTGTGTAATATAGATTAAGTCAACATGTGTGTTCCAACACCAAAACACAAAACACTACACGACGGACGATAAAACGTGTTCTCGAGTCTTCCTCTATAATAAGGCTCGGCAATTGTTAGGAACCCGCTTGACGGGTAAGCTTCAGGCCCGGGTTTGACAAGTCCTACGTGCGCTCAATTCGAAAACCAGCCAAAAGGATCTTGTGGTATATTTTGAAGATGTCCGTTTCAGGGCGGCAGAAAATTTTATTGGGCAGCGCCGATGGCAGTACACGTAGATCATGGCATTCTATACGGTAGCGGTGAGCATTGCTTTGCTCAGAATATCTGAGTTTGGGAGAGAATTAAAAATAAATTTACATTACATGAGAGTAGCAGGGTCAAAAGACGCGGAGCGCTAAGCTTCGAGACAATTCGTATAGGTCACAGGTCCCCGCGATAAGCAAGTGGGTAACGTATTTGCCTCTTGATCTTTGTAACAAGTTGTAGTGTAGGTTCGAATCCGGGCCTCGACAAACCTCGTTTTGTGCTGGGAGCCAATCATCTAATGGAATGTCTAACGGCGATACTGGTCGTGTAACTCGAAAATTGTCAATCAGACAATGTTCTATTGCCTAATAAACGGCTTGCGTTCAATAACAAGACACCCGTATATACAACATGACGTATTTAAAACGAAAAATTGATAACCATGCGTTTTACATGCGGCACAGAATGGAATAGATAATCCCTGTTTACATGAAAGCTACAGATATAAGTCATCGTTGAATTTCAATAGCTTAACCGATTGTACGGCAGCCAAGTAGAGAAATAATTAAGTTCAAATCATGATTAGAAACTTAATTGGCAATAAATGATATTAAGAGCATCAAGCGAAAGCGGAACAAGATTAGCCTGTTGGTATATACTGTACATTTGTAGGTGGGTCAACTTGTGTTTCTTCCAGACAGGGGTAAAGTTTTCGAAATGACGACACACGACTCCGTCCAGTAAAGCACCTTCTCAAGGCGAACGGCTATTTGCTTCAAGTATGACAGGGTCTTCGCTCGAAAGTTAAGCGTATGCTAAGCAAGAAACGTATGGGGTGAAAATCGTGCATCATAAGCGCCCGGTGGCCTATTAGCGTTTTGACAGGGTCACCTGCTAACGCATCTTGCAGCGTCCGGATACGCTGCAAGTATAGAAAACACATGCGATATTTAAATCAAACAGTCCACTGCATGTTCCCTCACAGGACCATCGACTTGAGCGCATGACACATGAGCACCTTTGGACCAGTAGATGAATTCGTTGTTTTTCAGCTCGTAGGTCAACGTAAGGCCTGCTTCATAAATATGCAGGCCGAGGTTTTGATTCAGTCTGAGATTAAGTCGGCTTTCGTATTGCAAAGTATATCGCGTTCGTCGAACATCAAGTTGCTGAGCTAATAGTTTAAATACTAATAGTGAGAGAATAATGGTAATGCTAATGATAACCCGGTGCTACATGCCAGAGATATAAGAGCGGTATTTATGTGAACATGTTTGAGCAGAGCAGGCTTTCAATATCACTTTGTGTATCTAGTTAGTAAAAGTAAGGCGCAAGGTGCCACAAAGCCATGACGACATCAGGGTCCATCAAAATTATAACCCCGTTAGCTTTCTTCCTGGCCGTTCTGCCGATGGTGCGATGGTTGCACCAATCTTCCGCGTTGGCAATCTCGACGCTGTTGTAACACGAATTCGAAACTTTTCTGAGTTTTCAGCAGCATCAACAAACGCGGCTGCTGATATTGCTAGAATACACACAGTTTGGCGAGCGTGTCAGGTCAGCATTAGTTCTTCAGGTGACATTTGTCATCCGAAAACTACGTTGAGCTTTCGTTCTCGTTGAAACCAAACCGGTATTAACAATATGTATTGTATGCTGTTGGACGTACGAAAGAGTAAAGTGCCGATGCTAGCATGCCCAGAACTAACTGCCCATTGCGTAATAACGCAGATACCAACCACACGCACCTTGCAGCCGTCGAACAGAAGCAGTGCCCCTCCTGCTCCCACCCCGTCACCTTAAAGCCTCATTGGATTCGTAGGATTAAGTTGTATCGTATTGTGCATCTTGCTCCGTTTTGCCGATGCTATATGCATTTTCTGCTATTTCAGTTCTGTCTGTGGTTGTATGACGCTGAGTTTTGCATGTGCTGTTCCGTAGAAAATGCATGTTGTTAGCGCTACATAGGTTA